CAAATGACATAGAAATGCAAACTGAAAGTCAGAGGAGAACGAGAGGTCAGAAACCATTAACATGCAGCAGGTCCATAATTTGTTAGACAAAGACACAACTTTAGTTTGCCTCAGTTTGTCTCCTATACATACCACAGCGGATTTAAAGTCAAACAATCAGGATATGCCTTGACTTAAAATAATATGTTCTGGCCTACAGAGGCAAAACTGCTGAACCTCTGTCTTTCTCCAATAAATTGTGGATGTATGAAAAGGTGAAAAACTCAACTACAGCAGAAATGATTGACAGAAAAAACAAGACCATTTAAATATGCAGCATATTGTCTGATCCTAGCTTTGCAAATTTGTCTTTGTCAGTTATGATGGTAAAGAGAAAGAGAGGAGAATGGATGGACGACAGTAAATGAATCAGGACCTGCAGAGGATTAGTAAAGAGGAAGGGAGGGCAGCTATGAAAAGGATGAAGAGTGGAAAGGCAGCAGGTCCAGATGACATACCTGTGGAGGTGTAGACCAGAGGGCATTGGGCCTTTTGATCAGACTGTTCACCATAATCTTGGTGAGTGAGCGCATGCCTGAGGGATGGACAAGAAGTGTGCTGATGTGGAGAGCTATGGGATAAAGAGGGAGGGATGAAGTGGACGAGTCAAACCATGAAGAAACGAGAAAGAAGCCAGTTTAAGGAGACAGGCTTAGCTTCATGCCAAGAAAAAGCACTGCAGGTGTGATGTTTGCTTTTAGAGTGTTGATGGAGAAGTTTGGAGATGGTCAGAAGTAGGGATGGGTATTGATAAGATTTTCACGATTCCGATTCCATTTTTGATTCTGTTTAACGATTCGATTCTTTATCGATTCTCTTATCGATTCTTTTTATAAAAAGGAGAACACTAAGGTCGATTAGCTTAGAACTTTGTTTTATATCTTCTCTTTGAACAAGATAGAAATTTAGGAGTAGCATGGCCTTACAAACCCAACAGTGAGATCTTAAGAGATCCAGCCTACGGCTCTTCAATGGGTGTCACAGGGTCCCCGGGAAAAAAAATTGTAAATGTAAAATAATAAAATAAATATTCTTCTGTAGCAATAACAAAGTATAACATAAATTATTCAGTAGCAATTACACAAGAATATCCAGTAATGTCCCTGCCTACAATTAAACACATTCACTTACCGAAAATCGGGGGCATCTGCTGTGGCAAATAGGTTCAAGCCTTTGACCACAAACTTAGTCACTGCTCGGTGACATTCGTCTATCCTGGCCTGAAAGGAGATGCTACCGGTAGACTGCAGCGAGAACTGCCAGCATCTGAGCCAGACTCTGTCTGTCTCTCTCATCATGGTCACCTAAATGGTCACCTAAATGCACAGTAATGGCCGGTTTTGTAATAAGGCAGATCGCGCTAACATAATATGCACTGTTAGTTGATTATTTACCTGCCACATTAACAGGAGAGGACGTGCAAATGTTACCGCTGCTGCTGGGTTGAGATTCACGAGTCTGGAGCGGAATTAAAAACACGACATTCATTTAAGGTTATCACGTGTTTTCCCTTAAATGAAGTATCTACTTTGCAAGTATTGCAAGTTGCCCTGTTGTCATCCGTTCTCGTAAAGTATAACCAAACTTTTGAGCTTTTGAGCCGCCGTGTTTCCTGCCAGGTAAATGACGCTCCGCAACGTGGTGATGTCATTCGGGGCGACTGGAATCGATAAGGGAATCATTTGCAAAAATGGCAAACAATTCCAAGGAATTGAAACAGTGGGAACCGGTTCTCAACAAGAACCGGTTTTCGATACCCATCCCTAGTCAGAAGGAGTTGCACTGTCTAGATCTAGAGAAAGCAGGATGACAGATGAGGTCAGGCGGGAATCTCCGTGGATTATAGCTTTTATAGGGAGCAGGTGGAGGTATGGACAGAATAAGTGTGTGTGAATAAGAGGGAGGCAGGTGTAGCAGTAAAGACACACATAGCAGAGGTAGTGAAGGTGAAGAAGAGAGCGCAGGCACGGTGGAGTGCATGGAGACGAGTATCGATGAATAAACTGTACAAAGATAGTGACCAGGAAGGAGAAAAAGTGGATGACCTCAGAGAAGATTTGTGGATGTAGTGAGGGAGGACATGAGGAGGATTGATGTGAAAGATGAGCAAAGAGTAGGTGGATGATTTACTATGGCACCCTCTGGGAGCAAGTGAAAGAAGAAGATTCTTTCGATTATATGTAAAAAAAACCCCAAAACAAAACAAAAAACCCTAACCAAAACACAGCAGGCTACTAAGTCAGTGTGTTGTATAATAAGAAACAATAGCAACATAAACTAGATCTGCATCGTTCATATAGCCCTGCAATGATTCATGTCAAATAAGTTTCCCTTTTTAATTTTTAATTTTTCTTTCCAAGAGATCATTTAATTAATTCTGCTTTTGGGTGACACTGAGAGCTCTTTTTTAAGTATGATGCCAAACGCCGTATGTCTCTTCAAACTTTTAAGCCCTGGTCCGTTGCACTGGGTGTAACTTTGCCCCTCAAGCATCTTTCATGAATATCACAAAGGTTGCAAGCCCTTTTCAGAAAGGGAGCTGCGAGTGGATGAGAGGAAAGTTTAAAGTTCAAGCAGAGAGACAGAGCGAGGGGAAGCCCTCGGGCCTTTTTAAGATGCTCCAATGTTCAACTTATCTACTTGCTGTGGCAAACAGTGAATACCTGCCAGAAGCTTTTAGGGCTGGAAAAAAAAATAAAAGCATGGAGTGATGTATATGGTGCTGCCCCCCCCCCCCCCCATCATGGCTTATGCTGCACTTTTTTTAAATTCTGAAAAATCTAATTAGTGAAGAATATCTACAAATGCTTCACTCATAATGTTTCTCCTTTGATGTTCTGATGCTCTGAGACTGACAAGACTGAGAATCCTGTGAAGTAGAAAAGATATAAGCAGGCATTTAGTGCAGAGATGAGCTAAGTGAGATCAGTGGATCACAGTAATTAGATGCCGTACGTAGGTTGTTTGATGCAGTGTCCTTGGTAGCTTGTTTAATCGCTGATGAGTTCCTTTAGCCTGTGAGTTCATGCTCATCCCCGTGCTACTCTTTAATGAAAAAGAGATTTCTATTTTATTTCCTTCTTTGCCACAGACACAGTCTAGTCCAAGTTTTTTTTGTTTCTATTTGTTGCTTCTCCTTTTAAAATAAACCAAATGTTTATTTTATTTTATTTTCACTTGCTACACACGGGACAGACATGACTGGGGGAAAGAAAAGGGAGAAAGAAAGAGAGGTAGGGAGAGAAAAACAGCGGGGAAGAGGAACGGTGATAAAGGGCAAAATCCCAAAAACCAACAAAACAAACAGACAAAAAATACATATATCAATCACCTGGATCACCTGTTGAGAAAGAAAAAAGAGAAAACAAGCAAAAAAACAGATCAATATAATAAAAAACATCATTGCGATGATCTATTTGAATATAACAGTAAATACTAAATATTGAATATTATTGTGCAGCACGTAGGATCGACAGTGCTCAGTGTGCTTTGAGGTAGGAGCCAAAAAGGGTGTAGTTTGTGTGTGTGAGCACCCGTGTGTACACCTGTGAGCATGAGCGCGCTTGTATTTAAAAGGTTCCTTCATGCAATGATCTGCTAGAGGGTGTGGGGAGCCACAGCCCCGTCGTCCAGGGCATGAAGCAGGTATGGAGGAGATTCAGGCCCCCATCATCCAGAGGCCCCCAGAACACAAGTGACCAAGGAAGACCAACGGAGGGGCAACCGTGCCACTCTCCCGGAAAGAGCTGAGGAGAGCCCCAGATGAGGGGTCACTCAGCAGCTGCGGAGCAGAAGCCAGGGGGAGTTGCAGTGACGCGCCCGTGAGCTCCGCCGACAGCCAGCTGTGCCTGAGTGACCGAGCCCCAGGCCGAGATGCCGAGGGCACCCCACCCAACAAAGTGGCCCGAGTGAGCCCCAGGCTCCAGGCCCCGACAAGCAGCCACTAGGAGTGAGCTGGTGCATACCAGACGCCCATCCCTGGACACCAAGAACCACCAATGCACGAATAGTCCAAGTTTCTATCTTCTTTTGAATGCATGCAGACGGCTTTAAGAGACTTTCAGAGAAGTAACTTTGCTTTCTTGTAAAGAGCTCTGCAGCCATTGTCTCTCAGAGAAGAACTCTCCTGACTGATTCTAATTATAGGCTCCTCTGGTGTGGCAGTGACAACGCTCTCTTGTTAAATTCCAAATTATGAAAATGAACACAGAGCTCAAATATAGCAGCAATATCAAACAAACTGATGAATGCTGTCACCGTGACAGGCAGAGAAAATGATTCACACAGAAGTGTGCAAAGCTTTCTGGTCTGTTCTATTTCATTCTACTGGGCCTTTTGTCGACGCGCCGCAGGAGGGCGCGAACGTCTCTCTTTCGTCTGGCGTCAACGGTCTCCCAGCAACAGCCAGGCTCGAGCTCGTCTCAATCGACCGCCGCTGAGCGCCGTCAAGCCGCACGGACACAGCCAGGCCCTCGCGGACAGAGTGGGGTGTTGCCTACAAAATAAAAGCCAACTGAGGTTAGGCGTGTAGTCGCCCAGCCTGACGGTGCTGGATTCTGCTGTCCCTGTTTGCTAGTTTGGATAAATTGCAATGGAATAAAATGTGAAATTTCAAGTTGGGAGGCTATTTTTAATGCTTAAGTAGCACCTCAAAGCAAAAAGCAAGAAAGATAATTAGAAAAGTAAAAATGAAATGTTAACCCACCAGTATTCATATGTATCGACCTCATGACTGCAGTGAATTGTAAAGATGATCGGTGAGGCAATTCAGGGATGATCGAAGGTACTGACACATCTGACCTTTATCCCCATCTAACAACGATTTGACTTTATAATTTTTTCAGATTTTTTTCTATCAAATACCTCCCATTTGATTTTTTTCTTTCGTTTGCTTTGAAAAACAGCGACCGGAAGTGGGACATTTCCCCCACACTTTCCGACTTACGCTCGGGTCTGCTCAGCTGCAGCCGAACAGACGAAAAACCATGGAGCGCAACAAGACGCGTTGGAGAGAATCACCGAGCGGGCGCGGAAAGTGTCAGTTTCAGTCGTGTTTGTAAGTTACTTCCAGCGAGAGTGGACAGACTTTTGGAACATCAGCAGGTGGAGAGTGATTCTTCGTTTTCTTTTTTTTCTCCAAGCGTGCGTAAACTGATTGGAGTGGTCGGGGAAAGAAAATAGCCTTGGAGTGTCCAGCGGCTACCAAAGAACGGGAGGGAGGCTAGTTAGTTTTTAAAACAAGCTCTGAAGTGAAGAAGAGTGCCTGCTGGATAGAAAGGTGGATTGGTGGATACCGTTTGGAGAATGCGCGCTGCGTAAAAGCCCCCATATCGCTTACATGTTGTTATAAGGAACAATTACTTCTCTTTGAGGAAACTGTGAGCGGAGACCTCCATAAAGAAAGGAGGCAGTGGTCTTAAATTGAAAGTGAGTTACTACTGAACAGTTACCAGCCATGGTGAAGTTCCATAACTCAGATCTATGGATAGCCTGGATGGTCATTTTCTGCATGGAGGGTAAGTTATATGACACTTGGAAACGTAGTCTGTGCGCCAACTATAAACTGAAAGCGCCTGGTAGGTTAATGATACCACTACTACTATTACTACTAATACTAATACTACTAATAATAATGTGGCTCTTTTGTAACTTGGATAAGTCACCATGACCATATATGTCTATAACTGGTATAAAAACAGACTTGGAACCCTTGGAACCTGGAATTGAATTGTCTCTTGGGCTCTGCCTCTCCAAAAGCCATATGATCCCAGCCCTCCTTAATACTTTGTGTTTGGATCACGCTGACAAATCCCCGGCATTACAAAAAAATAAAAAAATAATAAAAAAAAGACTTTTCCGCCTTTTGCTAGTCGCTATCCCCACCGAGCACTTTTGACCGTGCACGTCTTATCCATATGCGCACTGCTTAGTTTTCCTTGTGGCCACCTTACACAACCCGAGGTCTGATTTTTTTCTCCCCCCCCACACCCGCCCCTTCTTTTGACCACTGATACACTTTAAAGCGTGGTACAGTAGTGTCTGTGTTTTAAAATAGAAACGGAGCAGACGGTGGAGGGTTGCGCTGGTAATCCGCCCGATTAACGAGGAGTATGATGATCAGGCTGCACAGGAGAGCGAGCAGCCCCAAAGGAAAATCACTGGATGTTCCTATAGCCCTCCGATGGGAATTTTATTGTGTGCGTGCACAAATAGCAGTTATGTATATGTGTGCGCTTTTGTTTACCTTCCCTTTCTTCTTAGCGCAGCGGTGCTGTTATCCCTGCAGTAATTTAACAGTGTTCTCGCCGAGAGTGCCTGCAAGTTTAGTGAGTTTGTCACACTTGCTGCTATAAAATAAACCAAAGTTTAAAAATTTGAAAACAAGTCCTTGTGCGTCCTATTCAAGCTTTAGGTGAGACGAAGGAATTCATGAAAAACAAGATTAAGTTAACATTAAAGACAATATTAACAGCCTGCCGTTTATAGACTAAATATATTGCTGCAGATATGATGTTTCCCCACTGAATAAGGATGGATATGGTGCTCATATTAAAATTTCCTTTCACCTGAGGTCCACATCTTTATTGAAAAACACGTCAGAGCAGAGCAGAGACATGCTTGAATATTGACTGATTCCTCTCAGAGCTTCATGCAACATTTGCACTGAACCTTGCAACACACACACACACACACACCAGTCTGACATGTCAATTTGGACCGAAGAGTTGTGCAAGATTCAATTTAGCCCGATTCCCCAGGTGTTTTTACTCCGCTGCTTGCTTATTTGGCTTGTGGGTACCTCTGCGGTGAGTGGATGCGTGGCCTCTCGTCAGCTTCACTCGGGTTACACACATACACGCCCATGATAGTACATCGTGGACTGTGGTCACTCCATGTGTCTGTCCGGCTCAAAAGACCTCAGCTTTGCATTGACTTTAGGTTAAGTAAGACCGATGTGAGTTCAGCATCTCTGTAACAAGACAACTTGCTCAGAGAGAAGCAGGACAGCCTTTCTTCTCTCCTTTTGCTGTCTTGCTGGGGAGCTGCCAGTGTTGCTATAAATAAATTCTGATGCAGCAAAGTCTGTATTGTTCATGGTGGCTTCTGTGTTTGTTGACCTCAACTTTTTCACGCCAAACATAGTCTCTAGGATGATGAGATCAGTCTTAATAGACATCAGATTGTTTTTGAAGATATTACACATGAGACTTTATACATATATATTAGTTTGTTGTAGTTTTGCTTCACACGTGTGGCAAAAAAACCCTACTTTTTGTTCAGAAGTGCCTTAGGATGTCCACAGAAAAGCATGAAAAATGGAAAAGCTTTAAAAAGCAGGAAAAAGCAACAGAAGGAAGTAAAATTCATGAGTTCCTCGGACAGGCATCAATCATGGCCTAGTTCGTGGCAGGGCCCTTCGTATTTCAGCATTAGTTAGAGGACATGTCGTGTCCTCTTCAGCCATCAGCGCTCCCCAGTTACACATAAATATTGTATCCCCTCTTCTCAGTTAGAAATGGATTCATCTCAACAGCAGCCTCGCAAGAAAAGTTGGGTTCGTCTGGATCTGCAGTGCTGGGATCATTTGAAGAAAGTTTCTAAAAGTTAGAAGAATGAACAGTGGAGACTCTATGCTGATAAACAGATTAGTTCAGCTGTTGTCACAATGAACACCCGTGGTGATACCAACACAGGGCCGCTCTGTTACCGTGCCCTGATTTAAAGATACACCCAGAACAGCCCTCAAGGGCGTAGCAGGGACAGATCCCGAGGTTCAGTCAATTCAGCAAATTGAATTCGAGCGGAGCTGGTGGCTCTGAACTTTTCAATTGCTTTTGTTTGGTTTACTCGCCTGCGTAACGCTTCCTATAGAATCCTTCAAGTTTGAATACACAGAAGCGCTCAGATTAGCCTGTTGTCTTCAGGTTTGGACCGAAGAGTTCAGTGAGAATAAGCGTTAAAAAGAGACAACATGGTCTGTTTCTCAGAGCTCATTGGCATTCAGGGCGTTCGTGCCTGCTTCAAAGCAGAACTTAGACCAATTCTCCTTCCTGCTCGCTCTGTGAGCTTGTTAACCTCTTGAGGCTCTGCTGAAAGTGGCGGCATCAAAGTTACACAGTGAGTCTGGTTTATCTGTCGTGTCGGTTGCTGCGTTTTGTCATGTTTGCAAGTCCACTTTCCAACTCAATCCGTCCCAGAAATTAGATTTCATCTACTTCCAGCAGGAGTACTCACCAGATCTGCAGACCATAAGACAACAACCTGTCTGGATGAAGAAAAGTGTGCTAAACAATGATATCTTTTTTGATTTTGGGTTATTGTTATACTTATTGCTCAAGTCATTTCCAGTCTCATCTTGTAGGCCTTGTTCTTTTTCCTGCCAGTCTTCTGTATCACCTGTTTCTGGTCCACTCATTATTCCTCCAAGTATAAAAACCTCCTATGTAGTTCTCCCAAATCGCCAGATTGGAGTGTTGTGTTCCTTAAAAGTGATTTTTGTGTTTTTGGTTTGCCTGCACCCTTGTGTTGTCTTTTCATTGCTGACTGCCATCATGCCCATGCTCTGAAAGCCCAGTAGTAAAGTTTGGCATGTTCTTCCTGGTTCCTTCAGTGCTATATTTGGATCCTTTCCTCTTTTGGACTCAGTCGCAATATTATCATCTTTTATTTTCATCAGTAATTACAGTATATTTCAATGACCATCAGGTCCAGTGAGAAACAACTGCATATTTACCAGAATGCCTTTTTTTGCCGCTTCAAATTGTCACCGTTTTATTTTGTTAGGCTATTTGTCTGCTAGTTAAAGCCAATGAGAGAGAGGAGAGCGGCAAGTAGTCCCTGAGATGTTATGCCAGTAGCAGAGTAAAGAACATGTAGGGGTGCCGAGAGTTTCCCGCTTAGTTGGTCAGGTACTAACTTAGAGAACACCTCTCTTGCTGCTGATGCAGATTAAAAAAAAAAAAAGCAGTTTGTGTCAGTTTCAGCCGTTAAGTAGAGATTTTTTTTCACCCCCTCTCCTCTTCTGCCTGCTGCTAAAAAGGAGCAGCTGGAACAAGAGTGTTGGACAGATGGAACTTTCCACCTCGATTATTTTTCCCGCTAAAAATAGCCTCTCAAAAAATTAAAAGACCTCCGGGACCGCTCGCAAAGTGCATGTGCGTGCGTGTACGTGGCCGCTTGAGCGACAGAGGCGCAGGGAACTTCAGACGACGTGGTCCTCAGATGATGGCAGCCGTGGCCATCCTGGGAGTGTGAATGAATAAATGATGGGCAGATATTTGGAGGAGAGAGAGAGCAGCATTTGCCCGGTCCCTTGGTCTCTTAAGCACACATTAAACTAGGCCCCCAAAGAATCCACAGGCTGCCTCTTGCTTGCACGGCAGTTGGCCAAGCATCTGGGGCAAACATCTGATGTGGTCACTTCACAGAGATTTGGGGGTTTGGAGCTTTGAGGTTTTGGAGTTGGTTGTACCTCTAATCACAGTGGCAAATGAGGAAATCACGAGGATGTAGTAAAGCAGGGTGATGCTCTTAATGCAGCACTGCGATCAGTGGGGCTTTTTGTTGCATTTGGGTTAGATGGCGAAACGGAGTGTCGGGGAAATTGCGTGTCACTTAATAAACCAGAAGCTCAGCTTGTGGTCAGTGCCGTTGTCAAACTTGCTTTAGATTTGTGTTTGCCATTTATTACATGAAAAAAATAATAGGTTAAGTTCATATGTAAGCAGAGAAAGTGTGTGACTAAAGCTTTTTGACTTTTACTTTATGACACCTTGCAGCACTTGAAACAGTGGCCAGATTCATCTCCAGCCACAAGATCGTTGCTCTGAGCAAAGAGATAATCGTGGATGAAGTGCGACAATCGCGCCATTGTGAGAGCTGATGTTAGTTTATGAGTCTTTGAAAAGGCAAGTCGGCTTCGTGACTCAAAGATGGAAATGAATCACTACAGTCTTGCAATGGGGCTTTTTTTTGTTGGTTTACAGGTGCAGAGGAGGTGATATCATTTGAAAAAGCTGGAAAAAAAAGACACAAAGTAATTCATGACTAAACAGCAGAACAAAATTTAATTTACATGCTCTATGTGTACGGCGCCTTCGTCTGTAACACACTGTGGCAGGTTGAGGCATTGGGATGAGAGCGTCTTTTAGCTTGATTTTCCTTTCGAGTGTGTGGGTGAACCCGAGGCTTATACATATTTAAGGCGGATGTCTTCCTCTTGTCGCGGCACCCTGGCGATCCTCTCCTTCAGGGCGCTACAACACGAGCAGTTTTGCTTTGCTGGCTCTTGAGGTTTTGACAGGGCTCCTGACTCGCTCGTTAAATAAGTTGCTCGGGAGTTGTTTGGAACATGTAGATACTGCGCTGCATGACCACTTTTACAATTTCTTTTTAAAGATATCAAGTAAACTCATGTTTACTCACGAGTCAGAACTGCTGTAAATTTACTTAATTGCTGTTTCAAAAGCTCTGCATGTACAACAAAAGTGGGGGGAAAAATCGGTCTCTTAAATCC